ACGAGGGAGCGCTGTCATATCGGATGGCCAGCGGTGAGGGGGAGAGAAGCCGCCCACAGGACGAGCTGTGACGGCCGCACGGCGCCCTTGTTGCCATGGCGCCCTGTGCGGCCGCACGGCTCGCACACCCCTAAGGCCGGCCCTGCTCTCCCCCACCTCAGGCGGCCAAAAGTCGAGGGACACCCACATCATCCTGCACCGGCCAAACAATACAGCTGAAGACCTGGCACTCTAACAAATACGGGAAGAAGATGTTGGTGCCAGTGAGGAAGCTTGTGGAAGCGTTTAGCTCTGCAGTTCATAATTACAGGTGTGAATGGGGCCTACATATAGAACGCCTAATGCCATTACCTTCAATAGAGTTTATAAATAAAACAAACACAAAACAAAGCGATGTGTTATGTAACCTTGTGCTGACTCTCCACTGTATCTTTAAAGAAATCTCTCTCCTGCTCTAGAAACAAATGCTTCTGTTGTTCATTTAAAGTTTCATCACATCTAGTTTTAGAATAATTGCGGTTTCACTCATAGGGGCCTGCTCTTCCCTGTTTAATATACAAAAGTACTTTTCCACATTCCAGGGAGCCCTGAAGCCAGGCACAGACTATACATAAATCTCAATGATCTACTAATACCACGAGTTCTGCTATACTCATATGACACAAATGAAAACAAACAGGACTTACAGAGAAGCATACATTCTCTTGATTTAGGGCGCCGCTAGGCTAACACAGGGAGACCGCTTCAAGACTATTTATTTCAATAACATTTTTTTTGTAAGATTATATGTGCATTTAACATATTTTATGCATGCTATTTACCTGTAAAAGTCTCCCCTGTGTAAATATCCAAAAGGCCTGAGACTTCTGTTGGGCACTGCCATCCTGAATGTCATGTCAGCAGCCCCAACAGATTCAGAGCTGTTACTCAGCTGCATACCCATACGCTCCTCCTGCGGCAGCTACATCAAAGGATATATAGGGAGGTATGAGGAAGGGCAGGGGAGCTTGGCCAGCACAGACACTAATTATACACTCTTAGAAGAGGAGAGGAATATGACATGCAAGGGGGCTGTGCTAGGAAATTGGCTCCTCCTGGAGTAGTCAAATCCCTTAGCAAGTTCAGAAGCACATTTCAAGTCAATAAAACATAATTATAAAAACGAAAAATGCTGCAGGTAAGCATATAGAATACATGATTTTGTGTGTTTTTACCTGCAATTGATGTTAAGTTTTTTTTTTTTTTAAAGTCAAGATTACATGTAGTACTTGGTCGGTTTCGGAAGCCTAGAGGCAAGCAGAATCACATTTGGAGTAAAAGCAAGTGTGTGCAGCACCTGAAGATAAGGGTGGTCTGCAGATATTGTGTGTAAAATGGACCATGACATTAAACTTACACAAAAGTGCTTTAGTAAACAGGGGCATTGCTAAGATTCTGAAGATCAGGGGAACTCTTCAATGTGCCACAGGAAATGGAATGGTAAAAATATAGGTGCATTTAAAAAAAAGACATCTTTAAATTTCACTTTTTGACCCTATATTTGGTAGCTAACATACCTATTTAGCAAAGTTGTTGTAAACATGTAATATGTTTTAGGGTAAAAATGCTGAATGATACTTTTGAGACCTAGAATAAAAAACTAGAGCAAAAAAATCACCTATAAAGTCCTCTAACCCTTATAACAAGAGTGCTGAGGCTCTTCCTGGCTAATAACTTAAAGGAGAACTATGGGGTAAGTGTTTTTCCCCATAGTTCTCCTAAGGGTCAGGGGAGGACATATACTAGCATCCTACCGTGACCCAAAGCTCAGTATATCGCGAGCTACAGCTTGCGGTATACTGAGACCGCCGCTGCCGGGACGGATCCTGACATTACTGTCCAGATCCATCTGCCTCCTATCTAGAGGCAGAGCCAGCTGTACTCGCCCTCTCCCCCGTCCGTTCCGTTCCACTCAGCGCTGGAGGATCGGGGAGGGGGGGAATTCCTGCAGGGAGCCGTGACTGAAAGTCAAGGCCCTCTGCAGGGAGATGATCGAGAAGTGAGCGAGCGACAGTATGTGTTCGCTCACTTCCCTATCTATTGAGCCGACGTGTGACAGTTTCATTGTCACACGTCGGCTCGAACTATGAGGATGAGTGATTTTAACTCACCTCATAGTTCTCCTTTAAACTAACTTAAACAAAAAATACCAACCTGAAAAGAATCAAGTTGGTGTGAAGAAGTTATTTAAACTGCCGAAATACTTCAGGGTATATTATATACAAATTGAGTCTTTATTGTAACAAAGTTTAAAAGATGTAACACCATCACCAAAGCACCCTTCTAAAATTGACAACGTTGTCAGATCACGCCACACACATCTAGGCAGCCCTTTTCCAAACACTCATTCCTAATTCCAAAAGATGTAACCTACTAGTATAACTATTTACACAGTGCCAAAATGGTGGTGGTTTCATTACGATGTCTGCCATGGACAAATATGGGACTAACGCTGCTATAGTTTGCTACTGGCAAACCTGCAAGGGACTAAATTATGATAATATGGACCTTTCAAACAGATAGTGCTGACTTTACAATTCATAGACAAAACATCTCTGCGAATATCTTGACCAATGAATGAGTAATTGTGGGCAAC